TGAAAGGTAATTACTTATTCTATCCAATTATGCAAAAATATATAGGGTGTTCCATTGAAGAAAAACAAGATTTTAAACTTTTAAAATCGCTATTTTCAACGGGACATAGAAAACACCCTGTATGATATTTTCCAAAAAATATAATAATTAACTTATAGCTTACTTATTATTAAAGAGATGGATACTACATAATATAAAAAATAATAACTTTTAGTTGGTTATTTTTAACTTTTAGCGAGTGTCTACATTTAAAGAAATTTTAATAAATCTTAATTTTACTCAAAAAGTATTAACATTTTCTTATTTAATATATTTACAAAGTATACCTAAAAGAGTGGGAAGAATCCAAAAATGCAAAAAAATACAGGGTGTTCCATTGAAAATAAGAAAGTTGGTATCGTCTCAAGGAAAACCGAACACCCTGTATAAATGAAAATATAATATTTTAAAAATATTTTTTACTTCGTGAATATTTGTTCCTTACAAATTTTTTGTGACTCCAGTAGTTTCTGAGATAAGTATATGGGTCACCTTACGTGGACCACCCTGTACGTGCAAAACATTTAAAGGTTGAAACTGACCTAGAATGAATACGCGGAACATGAAAATTCAACCGCTCGAGCAGATCTGGACAGTCAATTTTATTATGGACAAGTTTGTACAAAAATTTAATTGAAAATATATTCCTCCTAACATCTAGTGCTGAAATATTAAATTCCTGCAATAATAGATTGTGATCATATCCCCTCTCTGGATAAGTATTGTGTTTTTTATATATAACATTTTCAAAAATCGACGTTAAACTTCTTCAAGTGATTTGCAGTGATTCTGATAATAAGGATACCAAATATTTGAACAATATTCAAGTTTAGAACGAACTAAACTGAAATATAGTGACTTTAGTGCAAACATATTTTTAAAAGATTTACAGTTTCGATAAATAAAACCAAGAACCCTATTAGCAGAGTTACAAATATTTTGAATATGATTTACAAAGCTAAACTTACTATCAAACAGAATTCCAATTATATATAACTCTATATAATTTTGTATAAATTAAATATAATTGTATATAAATTATATATAATTGAATATAATTTTAAATAAACTATATGTATACAAATATTTAAAATCTTTTTTCATCGGGTTTGCAATAACCATTAAACAAAAAATTATCTTGCTAATCATAGAACCATATTTTTTTCTATGAAAATGTCAGTTTTTTTCTGTCCTTTAGCTCGAGTACCGCACCATAGCGGAAATAAGATAGATAGCGGAAATAAGATAGTTTATATATACGCATATTCAGGGTGTCCGAACGAGAGCAGGTAGATTTGGTTTTTGAATAACTAGGATACAAATAAAACAATTATTAATTTTAGGGTATGCATGTTTAATATAGACCTGGCAGTTATGTGTGAAACACTATATCATTCAAATGGCCTCCTCTGCTAGCCACACAGATACGCGCCCTTTTGACTAAGTTTTGCAAAACATTTTCGCATGTTTACACCTCCAGCCCACATAGCGCACCAGACTGTAACTCGCCGAGGATGTAGAGGCTTCTCGTGTAACTGTCGAGGATTTTCACTCCCCCAAATACGGCTGTTTTGTTTATTCACGAAGCCGCTGAGGTCGAAATGAGCTTCATCGCTCATGATGATTTTCTTCCAAAATTCAGGATCATTTTCAATCGCTTCCAACATCCAATTGCTGCAATCACGACGCAGCCCATGGTCAGTTGGTTGAAGAGCTTGAGTCAACTGGATCTTATATGGGTGTAGGTGCAGTCTTTACACAAAATTTTCTGTAAAGACGACCGAGACAGACCGAGTTCCTGTGAACGGTGTCTGATGGAGGTGTTCGGCCTTTCAGTTACGCTTTCACGTACAGCAGCAATGTTTTCTTGTGAACGAGCCCTCCGAGGTGCTGGAGGCTTTGGGTGATTCGCCACCGAACCAGTTTCTTCGAATACTGCCAATAAGCGCTGTGCTTACTGCAGGCACATTATTGCGATCCAAAATTTCACGTAATTTTCGCCGAGTGACCGTAATTGAACACTAACTTTGGTAATACGTTTTAACTATTGAAACGCGTTAATCATACGTGTACCTCTGCATTATGAATTTGCCAGGTCTCTACTTGACATCTGTCAAAATTGAAGTGTCAAAATCAAAATCTACAAAAATGGCGGGCAATCCAAATCTACCTGCTCTCGTTCGGACACCCTGTATGTATAACGCAAAAAGGAAAAAATAGTTGCAATTAATTTCCTTCCTTAAAAATCGAAAGAGCGATATGAAAATGAATATGGTTTGTTAAAAGAATGGTTGGACAAGCGCGGAGTAAATCTTTTTCCTAAAAAATCAAATAGGGCAAGACAAGCTACAAAAACTCTTGCTAATGTAAAATTGTTAAAAAAAGAGGAAGGAAATATTTTTTCCTCCCGGGAAGGAAAAGAGGCATTTTCCTCCCTCGCTCGGGGATGGAAAATAGCTATTTACATACCATGGGAGGAAAATAGTGCTTTTCCTCCCGCGAAAGTTTGATGCCCGACGCGAAGTGAAGGGCGTTAAATATTCAAGGGAGAAAACGCATTTTCCCCCTGAGGTAAGTATATAGTTTTTTCTCTACGACTACTTAAGAATAGTAACATTCTGGTGTAATTTTTGATCATAGAAAGGATGTTTTTCTGCAATACTGTGCGAGAATATTCCTACTCTTGTTTAAGAATGGTCACAAGTAACGACATCTCCTGGCTGTTTACTAAACGTAAAAAAATTAAAAATATTTAAATATTACTGTATTATTTATTAATTAAAAAATAATAGCAGTTGTATAATTAAGGTTTAGGCACAAAAAATTAGTTATATTTATTGTTTTTCAAATAATCAAATCAAAATTATAATAAATTTGATATTAAAATGATAAACCAGTTACCTACTATACCGGCTTTGAAGTTTTGACAGATTCAAAAAGTTTAAAAAAAGACCTTTAAAATGTAGAAAAAGAATAGATGTTGACATAGATTACTTGTAAAATTAGTTTTTTATTTGTTACAATGTTATTTTTTTTATTAGTTAGTGTAAATAACTATTTTTAATTATAATAAAGATTTAGGCATACCATTTGTTTAAATTTATTATAATTTACATTATAAAATTGTGACGGCACAAAATGGTTTGACAATACAAAAAACTTAAATGTCAAAAACTGCTTGGTTTCTTTTCTCTGTTTAAAATTATATAAGCGTTACTATTCTTACGTAGTCGTAGAGAAAATAATGTCTGAAACACGTTTGGAATAACATATTCCACTCTCGTAAAACCGTCACACTCGCCTTCGGCTCGTGTGTCAAATTTTTCCTCGAGCGGAATATGCTGTATTCCAAACTTGTTACAGAATGTACTATTCTATTACCTTTTATTACATTTTAAGCGTTCCGGTTCTTTTTACTAACCCGGTATGGGGCTATAAAATTATGACAAAATATTAAGTAGGTGATGCATGACAATTAGAATATTTCTTATCGGACGATTGTATTGATAAACGGACAAACTGATAACGGACAAACGGATACATGAAAATTAAGCTTAAGACCGAGGCATTTCAAAAATTTGTCAAAGGTTTTTTTAACATTATTACATATTCTTTTAAATATCCCTAAAGTAAATTAATTATTATTAATATAAATAAAATAATTATATTTACTTATTTAAAAAAGTAAAGTATATCACCATCAACCTTGTATTTACTTATTTATTTATTCGCAAGTTAAAAAAAATAACAAAAAGAAAGGTAGGTTTGCCCAACACAAAAAAATAAACATTTCTCCTGAACCTAATAAAGGCTTTGTTATCTATGCTAATAAACTAAAACACCGACAGTGACAGTAAAAAAATAAAATTAAGGTAATTTCACAATGATACGTTCATAGCTGTGGAATTTCCACAAAAGTTTGTGTTGTCTCACACCTCTAATCATTCTGCCAGAGCACGCCTGTGATTGGCTACTTTATTTTATTAATAACTAATTAATGGTGCTTCTGATAAAAAATACGGCAAAGACTATTCGACTTAGAATTCCATCCTCTATCCACCTCTTTTCGGCTGTCCTTGACTTTTGAGACACCCTGTGTATCGCTCATGGTCGACAACAGTGTCAAAGATTTATGAATAATAAGTTTCTCACATATTTGTAAAATTATATTAACTTACAGTATTTTCTTTGCAAAGGAAGAACCACACTAAAATTCTGTCCAGTTAAAAAATAGATTTTAGAAAATACCCTTTTTGGATAAAAGCTATTTGTACATATGTCTGTGTTGCCAAAGAAGGTGTGTATCAATTTTGGAGATATGTATGTCAATTTTTTAATTATTTATTTTTTTATTTTTAATTATGAATATGATTTTTGATACAAATAAAAAAAAATCGTTGAAAATAAATAAGCACGGTGTAAAAAATAACGGAATATATTTATATGTTTAATGTATGGAAAATATTATTTGTATAGAAGCTTAGGGCATTTTTCAGAGGTAAAAGCATTTCAATTTTTAAGCAAAACTTAAATTATCTACTTATATCTTTGTTGATGTTTAACGCGAGTTACTTTTTACTTGGAATGAAATAAGTAGGAGTCCTACTGTAGGACTGTTAAGGTCAATGTCAAATTAAAGTTATGTAGGTTTTAAATTAAAACTTTTAATTAAAACGCGTACAATACTAAACAAAGTTGTTTTAAATAATTTAAATAACAAGTATTTGAAGGTATAAATTTTTTTTTTATTTTAGTTATGATAGTTAGAAAATTAGTTAACAGTATCAATAGTGTAGATAAGGAAACTTTATGGGTTAACTACGTTTTATTTATTTGTAATGTAATGGCTTAAATGTGTTTACCAATTATTTACAGAAATTAATTAAATAATAAATTCAAAAATTAAGGTAAAATGTATAATAAGTATATAAATACTTAAATAAAATGTTTTATAATTTAATTTTAATTTTTCAGAGGTGGAAAATGACTATTCATTTACTACCTGGCAAGGTGAAACGTTACGAGGTAAGTACATTTTTTTAATATTTTTTTTATAAAACGTATTTATACTTACAAAATCTTGAACACTCTGAACAAATGTGGGGATTATTGTATTATAAGGAAAATAAGTACAAATATTGCTCTCATTAACAAAAAGGACACACATATTTCGAATACGGTATCCAGAATACTATTTTATTTTTGTATAGAATTAAAAAAATTGTATATGTTTTTTATATATAATTTAAAGAGTATCGAGATTTTCATATAAAATTCTATATATTTATATATCGTGAGTTTATATATATAGATTTAGAATTTTTATAAGGTATTTGTGACCACTTGCTATTATTTTCATTAATCATGGAGCTGCTCTCACTTCCGGAAGTAACCGTAAGTTACATCAACTTTTGAATTTTAAAACCTGTATTTTTTTGATATTTGGATATAGTCGTGGCCAAATCTATATGGGTGCACACCACCTATGCGTTGTTATGACATTATTAGCATTAGGTACCAACTTTAAACTGTAAAGATACTGCCGTTAAAATTGCTTTTCAAAAATATCTTCATATACGTACCGTAAACACAGGTGGCTTTGCACCCCGCGGGTGACTTTAACCCTTTTATGAAAAATCTTTTCGCGCTCGATACAATTAACATTTATAATTTGTTGGTCTAAACCTATCAATTGAGTTTATATTAGAGGAAAATCAGTGTTTTAAAGAAATAAATGGGATTTATTACACTTTAAAATTATATATATATATATATATCTATTTTTTTAAATTTATATCCTTTTTCTACTCCTATTGCATATTATTGACATTATTTGGGTTTTTTCGTAAATAATGGTAACCAATATAACCGCCCGGCCTAACAACGGGAATATTGAACTCATTATTCAAGTTCTTAGGCATCAGTGATTGGCTGATTTTAATATTCACTGTTATTTAAACCAATCGGGTTTTAAATTAGGAAATAGTAAGGTTAATAGATGTCAGGTTTGAATATATACGAGAGGCGACTATAACGATCTTTAAAATCGGGAAAAAGTGAGGTTATAATAAATTTTGTTATTAATGAAAATTACTTAATTGGAGTAGAGAAAGCATAGTATTACACTCGAAATAATGCGCATTATTTATTCGGATGATTTACGTGTAATATACTATTATAATACATAAGTTATAAAAGTAAAATCAAACTCTGCAATATGTTTTTTAAAGTCATAGTATCAAAAATTCTGGCTAAAATACACAAAACCTACATTTATATACATAAAAGTCCCGTCGACAATTTTTTTAATATGGATTTTTTTTTTAAATTTTTATCCTTAATAATACAGTTATAATAGTAAAATCAAACTCTTCAATACATTTTTAAAGTCATACCAAATAACAAAAACATGACCAAAATACACAAAACCAACTTTTAAACTACGTTGGAGAATTGTAGGTAGGTACTGCTAGAAACGTTGTAACAACGTTTCGACGACAAATTTTTGTAAGTGTTTCTTAATATGCACCTAAAAAGATTTTTTATATAAAAAAATTAATAAATAATGGCCTAAAATACATTTTAATAAAAATTAAGTAAACAAAAATTGTGTTTTTAAAATAAAAAAATAATAAATTTATTGTCCATTCTTAAATTTCACAAACCCTTCTTTGTCAATAGTTTCAATAAAATAAAATTTTACTATTTAAAAATTGAAATTTACCGCTCTATCTCGAAAAGTGTAGGTATATTTTAATATTTAGGTTAGTTTTAAGTTAGTTAAGTTAGTATCAAGTTAGTTTATGGCGGCTGGTGGATTTTGGGTATACCAATATCTCAGTTATTAGACATGGGACCCACATCAAATTTATAATAGTTTATAATGACATTAAATAAACAAGTTCGGCGCAAACAGAATTTAAATTGAAGTTTGCAAAAAAAAGTTAGATTTTCCTGTGCCTCACCCGCCTCCAGGCTCCCCTATTTGAGATAATTCAAATTAAAGTGGTGCAATTTATTATCTACTATAATTTATCGACAAATTTAAAATTTTATTTAAAAAATCCAAATTAAGTTAACATTATTCAGATTTTCATTTCTGGTCTCAGCCATCTTTGGTAATAATTTCGATTCAGTAATCTGAATTCCACAACATTTAATCCGCCATAAAATCGTTATTTTTCATCCTAGTAGGATGATCCTACCTTTATAAAACACTTGTTTTAATAAAAAATATCTCTATAGTTGCGGCCAAATCTTCATGGGTACAAGCTATCAACGTTTTTTTTTTTCATAATTTGGTAAAAAAGTTTAAAAACAAAGAAATTGTTGCAGTTCTTGGTAAACAATACCGTAAACACGGGTGGCTTTAGCTCACTTTCAAACTTAAGCTAAAAATTTTTGTGGTTTTAACAATTATAAACATTAAATATTGTATACCAAAATTTGAGTCTTGAGTTGCTCTTTCATAATAACTATGTTTTAATATTACATAGGGCTAAGTTTCAAAAATAAAAATTAAAAACTGGGTGTGCAAAGTTACCCCCTGCTTTCGGGTAACTTTGTCACACAGTGTAGGTATTTTCCGTATAAAATTAACTCAATATTTTATTTTATTTTTATTAGACACATTTTAGCAGCGACATATAGCTATTGCAAGGGATTACCGATAAAAAAAAATTAAAAATCGACCTAGTTAACCAAGGATAATCATTCCAAAGGATTGCGCATAATATAGAAATTAAAACGCGTGCACACATGTATTTCTAAGAGTTTTGCACTGATGCAATATATTATATATATATATATATATATATATATATATATATATATATATATATAATATATTGCATCAGTGCAAAACTCTTAGAAATACATGTGTGCACGCGTTTTAATTTCTAAATTATGCGCAATCCTTTGGAATGATTATCCTTGGTTAACTAGGTCGATTTTTAATTTTTTTTTATCGGTAATCCCTTGCAATAGCTATATGTCGCTGCTAAAATGTGTCTAATAAAAATAAAATAAAATATTGAGTTAATTTTATACGGAAAATACCTACACTGTGTGACAAAGTTACCCGAAAGCAGGGGGTAACTTTGCACACCCAGTTTTTAATTTTTATTTTTGAAACTTAGCCCTATGTAATATTAAAACATAGTTATTATGAAAGAGCAACTCAAGACTCAAATTTTGGTATACAATATTTAATGTTTATAATTGTTAAAACCACAAAAATTTTTAGCTTAAGTTTGAAAGTGAGCTAAAGCCACCCGTGTTTACGGTATTGTTTACCAAGAACTGCAACAATTTCTTTGTTTTTAAACTTTTTTACCAAATTATGAAAAAAAAAAACGTTGATAGCTTGTACCCTTGAAGATTTGGCCGCAACTATAGAGATATTTTTTATTAAAACAAGTGTTTTATAAAGGTAGGATCATCCTACTAGGATGAAAAATAACGATTTTATGGCGGATTAAATGTTGTGGAATTCAGATTACTGAATCGAAATTATTACCAAAGATGGCTGAGACCAGAAATGAAAATCTGAATAATGTTAACTTAATTTGGATTTTTTAAATAAAATTTTAAATTTGTCGATAAATTATAGTAGATAATAAATTGCACCACTTTAATTTGAATTATCTCAAATAGGGGAGCCTGGAGGCGGGTGAGGCACAGGAAAATCTAACTTTTTTTTGCAAACTTCAATTTAAATTCTGTTTGCGCCGAACTTGTTTATTTAATGTCATTATAAACTATTATAAATTTGATGTGGGTCCCATGTCTAATAACTGAGATATTGGTATACCCAAAATCCACCAGCCGCCATAAACTAACTTGATACTAACTTAACTAACTTAAAACTAACCTAAATATTAAAATATACCTACACTTTTCGAGATAGAGCGGTAAATTTCAATTTTTAAATAGTAAAATTTTATTTTATTGAAACTATTGACAAAGAAGGGTTTGTGAAATTTAAGAATGGACAATAAATTTATTATTTTTTTATTTTAAAAACACAATTTTTGTTTACTTAATTTTTATTAAAATGTATTTTAGGCCATTATTTATTAATTTTTTTATATAAAAAATCTTTTTAGGTGCATATTAAGAAACACTTACAAAAATTTGTCGTCGAAACGTTGTTACAACGTTTCTAGCAGTACCTACCTACAATTCTCCAACGTAGTTTAAAAGTTGGTTTTGTGTATTTTGGTCATGTTTTTGTTATTTGGTATGACTTTAAAAATGTATTGAAGAGTTTGATTTTACTATTATAACTGTATTATTAAGGATAAAAATTTAAAAAAAAAATCCATATTAAAAAAATTGTCGACGGGACTTTTATGTATATAAATGTAGGTTTTGTGTATTTTAGCCAGAATTTTTGATACTATGACTTTAAAAAACATATTGCAGAGTTTGATTTTACTTTTATAACTTATGTATTATAATAGTATATTACACGTAAATCATCCGAATAAATAATGCGCATTATTTCGAGTGTAATACTATGCTTTCTCTACTCCAATTAAGTAATTTTCATTAATAACAAAATTTATTATAACCTCACTTTTTCCCGATTTTAAAGATCGTTATAGTCGCCTCTCGTATATATTCAAACCTGACATCTATTAACCTTACTATTTCCTAATTTAAAACCCGATTGGTTTAAATAACAGTGAATATTAAAATCAGCCAATCACTGATGCCTAAGAACTTGAATAATGAGTTCAATATTCCCGTTGTTAGGCCGGGCGGTTATATTGGTTACCATTATTTACGAAAAAACCCAAATAATGTCAATAATATGCAATAGGAGTAGAAAAAGGATATAAATTTAAAAAAAAACCGCATTATAAAATTTGTCGCCGTATTTTTGATTTTATGATTTTTAAAAATTTCCTGCAGTTTTATTTTACTTTTATAACTACTGTATTATAAAGGATAAAAATAAAAAAAAAATCACATTAAAAAATTTTTCCCCGGAACTTAAAATAATTTTATGTTCTAAATGT